ATATATATATATATATATTAGGTGTAGTAAAAAGAAATCCATTATTTTTGCATGATGAATGGAAAAATAATGGATTTCTTTTTACTACACCTAATATATGTTTCAATGGTATTGTAAATTTAACAACTTGTCCCTCATAGTGGGGTAAGTTGTTACAATTTACCTTTATTAATAGAAAATCTTAATTTTCAGTATTTAAAGACATAGATACAAATAAAAAAAATTGACTATCTAGATAAAGATGTACTTGAAACAATGCGTAGGTATTCATTAATTTAAATGTATACATTAATACAGAAAAAATTGTTAATCAAAAATTGTAACAACTTGCCCCGAGCTCCTCTATTACATATTACAATTTTTAATATCTACAATGTTGCAGCGATATCACAGCGCATCTGCAATATTGGAACATTACTGCAAGTTTTTGTATTGCATGGGACGTTTTATCGACAATTATCGCAATTGTTAAATAGCGATAGCGACAATTGATGAAACGTTTAAGATGCTGCTCTTACATGGGTTCAAGCGTCGAACATCAAAACATGTGCAGCAAGATGTTTAATAATTTTACTGAAATTGAATTTAATGTACGGGATATGCTAATAATGGAATTTTGTAGTTTATACTGTATAATGTAAATAAATATAAATTTAAAGTTAAAAATGGTCAAAGAACAGAACAAAATGATAGGAACTGGTTTGCGTATGCATTCTAATATTGTCAAGTTCGTCAAAGTCACACTTAACGCATTCTGACTCTCCTCTCTAGCAAAAACGAAATGTGTCGATTGAGTTTGAACAAAATTGGAAAGCGCCATGTGTTGATTTGTGTTAAGTATATCGACTGTGTATATCTTCTAAAAAAAAGCAATCTTACGCCTAAATTCTAAGCAGAATCATAAGACTCGTAACGCGTTGTCGTAAAACTTGTAAAAACTTTTGACTAGTATTCTAATTTTGTGTATGTTTCGAGACATACAATTATTCGTAAATATCTATGATTACTTGTAAATTTTTATGGCCAGTAAGAAGCTGTCCGTAAAAATATTGTATAAAGATATATATATAAGCATTTAAAATTCTTACAAGTCTTACAAGAATATGTTATACAAGAATATATTATAAGCCTTATGTTGAATTAGACCCATTAAATTTCTTACGGTTACGATGTTTATCTGGCGATACGATAATTAATGAGATTGATTGATAGACCGAATCCATTACCTTCGGTAACGTTTTTTTCATTATTCTCCATAAAAAAATGGTACCTATTACAACGTTATTTGGCTCTAATATTCTGTTCATTATTAGCTGCGTTACGATCTTATATAGACAGACAATTCGACAGACAATTCGGGCGAATTCATGGCAAAGCAGCTAGGCACGCTTACTGAGCGATTGAATATGATTGGTTGGATCTATAAATAACAACCAATTATGTTCATTTGCTCGGCAAGCAAGCTAGCCGCTTTGTTAATCTAAACGCGCCTAATGTTTACGGTAGCTTCTTTTCTTATAACCGCTTACGATCGCAGCGTTACGATAGATATGTAAATGATATATAGGGCCCATGATGTAGAAATACAAAATGCACCATTGCACATAATGGCGATAGCAATATTGGAAACAACCAATCAAATTTTGGTCTCTATGCATTTTCCTGCGTATGATAACGTTGGTATATTGGAATAGCCAATCAAATTTTGGTCTCAAATTCACTTTCCTACTACGCATCCTCAGGAATGATACACTTTGTCTTTTTACATCATGGATGGCTTTAATTAGCCGGCAGGAGATCGAGGTTATCAGATATCAATAATGAATCAATCAAGTTTTATATATGCTCAATTGATAGCTTGTACTCGGATTATATAAAAAAAGTTTTATTTTTTTCTGTACATATCCTATAAGTAAAATTGTAAAGTAATATGGGTTATTCAAAAAGTCATTGCGTTTTTTTCCAATAGATGGCGTTGTCCACGTTTATTTGTATGGAGCGTGACATGAATGTCAAATGTTTACGCGCGTTTTATTGTTGACACTCAATCTAAAAACTAAAAAAAAAGTTGACGCGATTTGGTCGAGTTTTGTGTAATTGTGATTCGAACATGAATTTTGAAGAGCATATTCGCCGTATTCTGTTTTATTACTTCAAAAAAGGGAAGAAAGCAAGGGAAAAGTTGCATCGAGTTCACGATAAAAATGTTGTCAAAAAACGCCAGTGCCAGAACTGGTTCGCCCGATTCCGTGATGGTGATTTTTCAGTCAAAGACGCTCATCGCTTCGGTAGACCTTTCAAGATTGACGACGATGAAATGAAAGCATTGGTGCAAGCAAATAAGCATTCAACAGTTCGGGAGCTTGCTACCGTTCTAAAAGTGTCCGTTGGAAATGTTCATGGCCATTTGAAATCGCTAGGCTTCGTAAAGAATCTCGATGTTTGAGTACCGCATGAGTTGAAAGAAATTCATCTGATGAATCGCATCTGCGTCTGCGATCAACTCATCAAACGCGAAGAAAACGATCCGTTCTTGAAGCGTATGATCACGAGCGATGAAAAATGGAATTGTTTACAACAATGTCAGCCGAAAAAGAAGTTGGAGTAAGTGACGCACCGGAAAGGCAAGCAAAGGTGGAGATTCACCAAAAGAAGGTAATGCTGTCAATGTGGTGGGATTGGAAGGGACCAGTCTTCTATGAGCTACTTCCAAAGAACAAAACGATTAATTCCGATGTCTACTATGAGCAGCTGCAGAAATTAAGTGATGCCATCGCACAGAAACGTCCCGAGCTAATCAATCGTAAGGGTATGTTCGTTGAGACAATCGTTGTCTCATACATATGTTACTAGTACGAGTGAGATATCCCCGGTGTCTTTCGCTCACCAATATTTATAATAATATTTTTATTATGCACAAAATGTTATAATTATGCATAAAAATTTTTAATACTGTAAAAAATTTTTGTGCATAATTATAACATTACGTGTAATTTTGAGACTCATTGTAATAGCTTTACATGCATTTATAAATATCCAGTAACACGTACGTGTGCGCTTTGATATGAGTATAGTGTCGCGCCGAATAGACACTATTCTTCCCGGTGCGTGTACACTACATAAGTATAGAGTAGAACTCGGCACGATTTGCATTTCTCGGCTGATTTTTAGCATGGCTCTGCCTTCCGCTATTCTTCTCACTTCATCAGCCTGCGCGCAGTCCAAATGCCGCTCGAGGCTTATGGTTCCTGCACACAGAACGTGGCATCGCTTACCGCGCAACGGAAGTTGACGCGATAGCCAATCAACGTCTCGCTTGCTTGGAAGTAATAGATATATATAATTTCCACCGCGTAATAAAAGTTGAACTCAATCCAACTTTTGCCGCGCAGCGGAAGTAATATTACATCATTTCTAGAAGTTTTGCATGGTGAGGCCCATTTAAGAACATATAATTATTGATTAGTGCGACAACTTCCGTTGCTACGTGCAAGAGCCATTAGAAGTATATAATGCTCGTAGACATAAGATGCATCCGCTCACGTTGTAAATTTCATTTTATCTTTTTTTTTCATTCATTATATAATTAAGATAGAATGAAGCAATCACGTAAGCGCTCAATTATGCGCATTGCATGAGGAGCGCATCCCAAAACGGATGGACTTCATATCTACGAGCGTTATATGGTCGAGCGGCATTTGGATTGTGCGAGAGGTTGAGGCGAGAAGCGTAGCGAAAGGCGGAGCTGAATCAAAATTCGGCCGAGAAGTATAAATCGTGCCAAACGCTGATATAAAACAATGTGAATAAAACAAGGAAAATTGCAGATATTATTATGTATGCATTCATAGGTTAATATAAACTCCATAATGCAGTTCATCGTGGAAATTGGGACTAATGACAGATTGAATTTCTTAAATTTCATCATAATTGACAACAATTTAATTATTTTTGACAGATTTCAGAAACAGACGTGTTCAGGAAAATTTCTTAATTTTTACTCTCACCATCCCTTATGTCAAAAAAGAGATGTTATCATAGGCGCAGTAGACAGAGTAGTCATATTGTTTTCTCATCCTAATTTCCAAGAAAAAAGTTTCATTGATATTATTAACACATTTATAGAAAATGGCTATCCACTTCAGTTTATTTTTTTCACTATTAATAATAGATTGAATTATCATAATAATAATAATACACAGTTTCTCACATACTTAATAAAAATATAATTGCTAAAAAGTTTTTACCATCCCATATGTCAAATTCATCTTTAGAAAACTTTATGCCGATTGTTTTTAAAATAAACTCTAAACTGGCTTTTTCCGAACATCTTAAAAAAAATCACATTAAAAGAAGCAAAGATCAACTTAACTTCTTCTCTCATCAAGAAGTAATCTATAAAATATCTTATGTAGATTGTTGATGCCAGTTATGTTGGTCAAACAAACAGAAAGTTGAAAACTAGACTACAAGAATACATCTGATATAAAGAAAAAGATGGGATTGACATCAGTCATTACGAACTATCGAATTGTAACCATGAATTCAATTGGAACAAAGTAAGAATTCTCGATAAAGGATCCTCCTATAATAAATTGGTATTGGAGGTGATTCAGCAAAGAAGCAAAGACAGGGTGTAAATAGACAGAATGACATTGAATCATTACATGAATCTTATCTTCCTATTATTCAATCTCTTTCTCCTTCCTAGATTTCTATTCTTTTTCCCGTCTCTTAAATTATCCTTTCCCTATTAATTCTTATCCCCTCCTTTGTACCTCTAACTTTCCGTTATTTCTCATTTCCGAATTGAATGTCAAGGAAGCTCCATCGAAATTTGTTTCTTTTACGTATTTTTATACATTTAGACTGAGCTTATTTCAAATTTTAAATATTTGTACTAACCGTAAGATTTTATATTCTGACCTTTTTATTTCTGAATATTGGAACTAACTTTAAGATTATTTCTATGATATTTATTTTATGATATTCTCTATTTTATTCTTACTTTTTATTTTATTCTTGTACATATTTTATGAGATTTATATTAACTAATATCATTTATTTCATACCTTTATATTGTTATTAACAGACTGAGTTATTTGCCGGTTTTTAGTGACATAATTTTATCAAACTTTTGTAACTGCGACATGTTAAAAGCAAGTAATCTCCGTTTCCATTATACTTACAATGATTATGTTAAAGATTATGCCTCTTGGATATGACAGCAAGATACTATTTAATACCAATGCGATAACCAGGATGCAATTATATCATTATTTTTTACATTAAGCTGAAATCTATATCTCTTCTTAATAACTTTTAGTTTTAAACTATTGATATTTCAAATATGTTTATACAAATATTTTATTGAAAGATATTACATGTTAACATTAATAACAATAAATGTTTTAACATTGAGAATCCAATTGGAGTCGAAACACTACTGTTTTAATTTGTTGTATTTTATTTAGCGCCTATTAATATATTTTGCTTAGTATTTATATTTTATTCTCATGGTAGTTCTTTTTAATATATTTCTAATTAATTTATTATTTGAATCATTCACATTATGTATTTAAAACTCCGTAATGTTTGTGTGCGGAAGTATTTTCTATAACATATAAATATAGATTGACTGCAAAGTGTAGTGTCAGTACTCACAGCATTGTCGTCCTACATAATACAGCCATCAAAAAATTTTATAGTAAAAGAAAAAAAGTTTATATTGTTTTTCTAACTGATTGCGTCTTCTCTCCAGTAAATAGTTGATTAATCACCTTACAGAGAAATATTTCGGATATTAAATGATGAAACATCAAATGTAAATACTGTCGTTTAACACATCTTATTACTCATCACTGAATCATCACTGTATTGCACTAAAGATGGCTAAAAAGTTAGCCGAAATATTATATATATATTAATTTTTAATTAAATACGAGAGATATAATTTAATGATATTGAAATTTATCGCGCACATAGTACAGCGCTAATTCCCAAAGCCTTAACTTATATATATTGATTTTCTTTCATGATTTTCTTTTTTAAAAATCTTTATATCGTAGAAAACTTATATCACAGTTGATATTATGCCATGCAATTACACGGCGATATTTTGTAAAGAATTACTGCAGATAAGCCAATTATTTACATATCTATAAGACGCGGCGAGCACACTCGAAGCGAGCACACGCAGATTAACTTCGCGACAGTATCTGGTGCATAAAGCTTTCATGAGATTCGACATTTTTCTATTCTCGCGATGTGGGTCAGTGTCAGCAGCGGGTAGTTCATTTACTTACACGTTACAAAAGATCGCCCTTGTACAGCATATCGTGCACCAATGACAGGACAGCTTATCAGGAAAATTAACATTGCGGCATTATAATGTATGATCTTTAAGGAAAAATATTATTTGCAAGAATAAAAATCGCAATGTTTTTAATTTAATTCACACTTTTATTATATTCCCCTTATATATAGAAGTCTAATTCAATTAAATTGCATATACATATTATTTACAATTAGAAATTTAACAAATTCAAAAATAAAAGATGAACATATACAGTTTCATGAAACTGTTGTATAAGTAATTAATGAATCTCATCTCTCTCTATCAAATATTAAATTAGAATTTTTTTCTGTGTTGGAATAATTTTTTTAATTATTTTAACTCACATTTATAAAATATTCTATTTATTGTGTATATATTAATTTGATATTATGTAATATCAAATTATAATTCATCAAATTGAAAATTTTTATACTTTTTGAGAAAATTGTTGTAAAATTTATGGCAGAATATGAAGAAAACGATTTCAATATTTAATAAAGATGTGTTATTTTATATTTATGCTCTGTTTCGTGTGTAAAACAAGCAACTCAAAACCATTTAAAATATTGTATAAGAACAACAATTAACAAATAGTTGATTTATTACCGTATTCAATTCTTAACAAGAAAATGTGTATACGTGTACGTATGTATAATGTATATATACATGTGTACATACATTACCACAACATTAGTACCACAACATTAGTGGAGAACGAAAAGTTCTAAATAGCAACTAAACAGTCAAATCAATTTACTATTATGAATAATATGAATGATATTATGATATAACGCGCACATGCAAATCTTAAATAAAGATTCGTAAGCTCATATCGTAGTTAATATCGTTTGTTTACAAGTTATTTTTCTTAACTGTACTTATCGTATACTTTTTTCATTCTCTGATATAAATTTTATGAAAATTTTCTTAAAACGTGTAAAAATTTTCAATTTTATGAATATATAATAACAAATTAACAGAATAATTTATAAATATAATTTATAAATATAAGTAAAAATAATTTTCAAAAATATCTCAATGTTCCAATACAAAGACAAAAAAATTCTTATTTAAAATTTGGCAGAGAAGAAATGTGTCATTCACTTCTG